GTTGCCATTGGTTACATTGGATAGACACTAGACTTAACAGTGATGATGCATTTACATTTTTCTTATACAAATGTAAAATCACCATGTATTCAAATTTCACAATGAGGAATTAGCAGCAGGATAAAACAAGAACAACATTTTGTTTCTTCTAGAATTCTAAAACATCAGACAGAGTGGATCAAACTTTGGAATCATTTCATTTGGTTTAATACTCATGAAGAAATGTATTCACCATTTTACAGCTGCTCTTTTTCCAAATATTGTGTTTGGGGAAAAATACTTATTGGGCTGGCGTGCATTATGTGATAAAGTTGTGTTGACATGGTTTGGTCACGACACACTACAATTGCTGCCACGTAAAAGATGGATGTAGCCTCAGGTCGGAAAAGTGACGCCAACGCAAACAGTCAGCCAGGGGGGACTCCACTGGTTGTAGAAACATGTCATAATGTATAAAAGTCCATGAAGAAATGTTCCTATTTATCACCTCATTTTCCCAGTAAGTACACGACCTTAAGTGTTAGTTTCAAGTCTCTTTTAATATAGCATGGCGTTCTTTTTGTAAATTATGGTCCTGTTTAGAGTAAAATTGGCAATAAACCAAGGTATGGACTAATCTTGGGATGACGTGTCCCTACCATATGGGTGTGCATAGTATCCTCAAGTCAAATCAACGTCTCATTCGTTATGTCAGGTTTCAAAATAGCCAAAATGCTGTGCTCAGTGCTTCAGAACAGTAGTATGCAAGCTAATGTGTGACATAACGGTCACTACATCCATCTTTAATTACAGTCTGAGGCTGCTGCCCAGCCCAGTGCCGGGAGCTTCATCCCACTGTGTTAATAAATCCATGATCCTCCCTACATACATCATCGTTTGAGCATATTAGTATGCTGACATTAGCATTTAAATTCATTTAGATTCAGTATTTTGTCAAACCAAAGTCGCTCTGCTGACCATATCCGTGATCATATATTCTTCTTTGCTTAAAATGATCTCCAAACAATTTATTGAAATAATAAACATAACTTTAAATAATAAACTTCAATGATTGCAATCAGTCAGTTTGTTCTACTCACTGTGGACCTCAGGCATGCTCTGTGTGTCGTATTCATGGGGCTCTGCAGAACAGAAAAGAGCAGAGAAGACATGACTTATTTAGAGTTATTTAATTACTGTTTATGATATAGAGTATCCAAGAACCGGACTTTATTCCATTAATTACCTTCTCACTTTGGTTCTCTGCAATGAACATTAATGAGGTCAGGTTTTGCCGTCCAAATAGCTCAGCAAATTGAGATAATGCAGGTAGTCGCTACTTTCCACATAAAACAATAATCAGAATCAGAAGCAGCTGTAGCGGCAGAGCTGGCCAAGTAGCTGAATTAAACTTCTGTGTGCGAACAAAAGACTGTTGTGAGCATCAGCAAAGACAGTGTGCATATAGGATGACACCCTCTGAGCTCTGGGGGCCCAACGGACCACGGCAGAATATTTACAGTATAAGAGACGTTACGTGTGTGTGTGTGTGTGTGTGTGTGTGTGTGTGTAGTCATGCATGCTGAATTTAATCTAGGTGGTCACATGAATCTCTACATGTGATGAGCTGCTAATCATGCGTCTGTTAACATGCATATTTATGGCAGCGTGTCACGGCTGCAGCTTTCATCTGTGCACAGTCTGCGCACTGGATTCCACACAAATACATGACAAACAAAAGTTTTGTTCTCCCTCCTCCCTCTCTCTGCTTCTGGTAGTCGGAGCCCTGCAGGACTGGATCCTTTAATTCCAGGCACAGAATGGGAGACATGTGAGTGAATGATCACAAGGCCCGCTGGGCTCAGCCAACTAACCAACTTGCTCTGTGTTTCTTCCCAAAAATCCTTGAGGGTGACTCAGCGTAAGCAGTACCAGGAGTCCCGGCTGTATCCTCATAATTCTTACTTTCATTGATCTTCTGATGCTATGATCTCACTTGGAGATCTGCTGTGTATAATATTGCTTAAAGCTGATATAAAGTTGCTCTGGGTTTAGCCAGAAGATTTTGGCAATGCCGCTTGAACAATTTCTAAAGGGAATTTCAGACGGAAAGGTTTTGATGAGGCTTCACTCTGTCGCTGTGTTCGACTTGAAAAATGTGCAGCACACTGTGACACATTGGTATCATCAGTGATAATGTCTCCAGAGGTACAGCTAACAGCATATATATCCCACATGGTTTAAACAAACATGCTGGTCAGATAAGGACAAATAGGCTGAGACACTATTCTGTGACAACGCTCTGCACAGCTGTGAGGGGCCAGAACTGGAAAAACAGGAAAGATGGAAGAGATTAAATCCCTGTGACAGATTTGGCAGCCTGCTGATGACAGCGTACTATCTGAAAAAGAGAGTGGAAACTTCATTCTGGTGACTCAGTGTTACAAAAATCAAGGATCTCATGGACAGATGGACGACCAATTAAAGGACGAGGGTGACATAACGCGCCCTGGTGAGGTGTTGGGCCGTCAGGGTGCTGTTGTTCCAGATTCTCACGGTCTGTGGACTCCACTTTAAGAATTAATACAGCTTTTCTCTAAAACATTCTCTAATTTGGTGATTTTTTATGCTGATGGAGATGATCTGGTGACTGCACAGTTTGATAACATCCATGCATAAATGTGACAAACCTGCATTTTGTTTGGGATCATGCGAGCTGTTAATTTAAAAAAAAAAAAAAAAAAAAAGCATTACAATGCGAATTCTTGTACTCTGACTTGACACAGTTCACACATGAGATAGTAATTCTCATGGTGATGTTTTACCAATCGGACTGCAGTGAGATTCAAAAAGGCGATGCACATTTTCCATGCAGTTACAGTACAGCATGCAGCTGTTGAATCTCAGTGAAGCCTTTCATTTACTGGGGATTTCACATGGTAAGCTCCAGCAGACTTCCATGACTTCAAGTCAGTGCTCTCTGACTCTGGCAGCCTGAACTTTTGACCGGCAGCCACTCCTCTGGGCTCGTAAAGAAAGGACTGGAACAGATGGAAATTTGTTAGGGTTGCCCCTTGAACGCAACGTTGACCTGGGACCTGACATTCTACCACGTTTGTATCCTTTGATTTGCATTTCTCTGCACATTAATACAGACATTCGCACTAGGCAGCTTCCCGGAGTAACTATTAAGCAGTTTCAAACTCTCTAAACTCTTTGCTGAAATGCTACAATGGCACTATTTGTCAAGCAAAGAGGGCGTTACTCATTTACATATTTTTACAAGTGGATCAAGGATTTGGAACGCTCCAAACATAATCTCTCCCTCTAACATGACTGTAAAAAGCCAACTGAGTGACAAACAAACAAAAAAGAAGTTGGACTACTCACCTCCAAGATCACTCTGAGAGCATCTGTGTTCTCCGTTCAGCCTCTTGAAGAGCGACCGCATCACCTTGGCGCTGCCGAAGCGCTTGAAGCGGGTGCGGACGTTCTCGTGGAACCACTCCAAAGTGCCAATCTTGAAGACCCTGTTAGAGGAAACAGAAGGGACAAAAAAAGACACCGAAAAACCAAAACACAGAGCAAGTTCATTACAGAAATACTTATGGGAATACAAACATGCCAGAAACAAGGGCTGGATATGCCTCTTTTGTTACAAATAGCCTTGATGAATAAACAAAAGTGCCGAGTGCAGGCTCAAAGCATGGGATGCATTGCTTGATGTTTTCCAGACACTGGCTGAGCTCCGTTAAAGAACCTTCCATTGTGCAGCTTCATCTGAGCAAACAGGTATAACAGTTCCATGTGGAGCTGGAATGAGCTGGATGTATTCAACTCTATCACTGCAAGCAGCAGAGCTTCGAGCAGCAAAAGAGATCTCAGCTATGTGTGTTGAAAAGCCAGTTGCCAAAACATCCATCAAACTGTGTTGTGCTGTCACACTTGCGCAAGACACTGAACTTTCGACGGTTCACTCAGTGTGGGTTGCTCTGGTCAAGACCACTGATAACATAAATAAAATGTAAATGTTTTGTACATGTGTAGGGACTGAAAAGAAGTCATTATTAGCTATGTGCAGCCAGTGTTTGTTTTTCATTTTCCCCCAGACTGAACATGTCTTGGGTACTCCAGAGACACTTCAAGTGCACTTTAACAAATATTCAAACTTTAGCTGAACTGCTTAGTCTTGTGCTGTGTTCACAAATACACCTATCAAGTACTTTCCTGCTGACATACACACCCAAAAGTGTGTTGCTCACTGTATATAAACCAACACTTGTGCCTTGAAAAACCTTTACAGTGGAACATTAAGGCTAAGTTAGAATGTTCTGCTGTGACTCTGACTTAGATTGTATTATTAATATTAAAAATAGAAAACTTCCATCAATAGCTTGAATCATAACAATATGGTGAAATGCATATAGATGCACTAAAAAAAGAACAACTAATATTTTAGTACATAGGAAAAACAGTTATGATAAAAATTTTGTCCTGACAAACCAGTGATCCCCTAAATTTAATTCCGTTGTCTCCAAGCATATATTTTTGTTTATTAGCCTTAAAGACGTGTCCAAATTGTGTTTTTTACATGCTAAAAGGCACATAATATGACATGTACCACCCACCAAAACACAGTAAAATAAACAGTCAGCCAATTGACTGAGTACCTTGAAACTGCAGTGTATCGATGATAAACTCAAAAATGCAGATTTGGACTTCCAGGGTTTTATACTTTCTGTATCATTTTTATTTTTCATCAGAATCAGTGCATGGCTGAATTAGTCCAACATGACGACGTGACATCGTGCAGTTCAGTAGCTGAGTAGCTGAGTTGTGGGTGAGCTGGTGTGCTCCTGCTGCAGAGCGGCAGAATGGCGGGTGAAGAGGGAGACAAGGACTTCATAGAGTCTTTATCTAAGCCATTTCAGTACAAAAAACTTCTAAATATATAGTGTTGACAAATGGAGTGTTAAGAGTTAAAGCAATGACTGCAGAGAGACTCAAAAACAATCATTTTACATCCAGTTACCATTTTTAAAAGCAAGTTAATGCATGGTGAGTCATTAAGGTTGTTGAGCCTCAGCCAAGGATGCATCACAATAATGCAGTTACCCAAATGATTAGATTATAACTGGGATTTATCTCATCATGTAGTGGATAAAGGACATCCTTTCTCAACCTTGGGACTGGAAGGCCACATGAGGACAAAAACCTGAATTATGTAACGATATCTTTAACTTTCAGGAATTTTAACCTTCAGGGTGCCCTTAATCAAACACGTTAGCAAGTATTTCATTCAACTCTGATGTAATCTCTACGCTTTTGCCGCTGTTAAAGGCTACACAATTGAATTGTGCAGTGAGTTGAGGCTGAGTTAATGTAACATGCAACTTCAGATGGAAGACTGAGACAAGTCTGAGTCAGTCTCAAGGGTTTGAAGAGGTGAGACGGGTAGATTTACTGCCTCAATTTTACCTCTTGCTCAGTGGAAAATGACTTTTTAGTGTTAGAGAGAAGTTAATACTTCTTGCAACGGTGCGATTTTTCAGCTTCCAGCCAGCGTGCTGACCTGACTTTGAATTACAACATGTTTCATTTATAAATTTGCCATTTCCTACCTGGCCATGCGACAGGGATCGCACACCCAGCCGTGCTCCTTCTTGTTGTAGCGGCTGCAGGACTTGCAGACGTAGAGCTGGCAGTCCAGACACTGACGCTTGCTGTTGACCAGGAACTTGAAGGGCTGGAGACAACGAATGCAGTGAGACTCGGTCAGGCTGGTCTCGTTTCCCAGCAGCTCTCTCTTGCTGTCTTCTCTCGCAATCTTTGTCTTTAGCTCCCTGAGGGACGAAAAAGGTGAAAAACAATATGGAAATTTAATACATGTACACAATTTTCTATACTGCATTTAAAGCCTGCAAAGAAGGCAAACCAGCAAATAAGCCATCTTTCCTTTTATCATGTTATTACTACAAAAACACTATGCAAATGGATTCTGTCAGTCAGCACTTTATATAGCCTTGGGTCAAAAATACACATATATGTTGTTTTAATGCATATCTAAAGAGACAGGCCATATGCATGGAAAAACATTAGAGCAGTCCTGATGTAAGTGGCTTTGTTGCACTATAGCATTCCTCTGGTAGCTCAGACGGTTAAACAAGACTTCCTGATGGTGTGTGTTTGACACTCAAGTACGACTAATGATCAATATACACGAGACTCTTTATATTTATGGTATACATGGGATGCAGCTACTAATAATGTAACTTGAAAGTACAGGGTTACCCTTAAATCCTTTAACAAACACGTTTTGTACCAGAATTTTTTTGCAAATTGTGGCTTAAGCTGCTGTTTGCATATTGTTCGCGGTGAAATCGGGCAAAATTAGGCAGCATCATTGCAGAAAGGCCAAAAGCAAAACTTTACCTGGATGGATATGTTTGACAAATGCACAGCTCCTGTTAAAGTCACACATTTTAATTGTCACATATATTACAGTATTATATATATACATATTATATAACAGCGGTGGAGGAAATATTCAGATCCTTTCTCTGTAATAAAGTACAAATAGGACACCAGACTGTAAAAAAATAGTCAGTTCAAAGTAAAAGTCCAGCATTAACAATGTATCTAAGTATAATAAGGAGAACATTCTTAAAGTTTTGAAGCCGATAAAAGACCTCCTGTGACTTTTGATTGTATAAAACAGTGCGTTATATTATCACATGATTATCACTGATGCAGCCACGTAAAAGCAGGATGTCGCTGGTACAGTTGGTTGAAGTAGAGCTCATTTTGAACTATTTTGCATCCAACTGCAATTAATTATTTTTTATTATGACTGATGTAATGATTTTCTACAGCAGTCAGTTATTCAGATTATTTCAAAGCAAAAGCAGCAAATGTTTACTTTTGCGCAGCTACAACCATGAGAAGAATTTACAATAAATATGAATAATCAACTAATCATCTTAGCTGTGCTTGTAGAAACTGCTGGTTCGCCTAAGACCAAAGCATCCTGGGTGCAAAATAGAATAGATTAGAATAGAATAGAACTTTATTGATCCCTTTAGTGGAAACCTCAGGGAAATTGCTGAAAGTCACAATTTGTAAAATAACTAGAAAGTAAACCATCCATCCAACCCTGATAGGGTCACGAGGGGGCTGGAGTCTATCCCAGCAGGTGAAGGCAGGGGACACCCTGGACAGGTCACCAGTCTATCACAGGGCTACACTTAGAGACAGACAACCAAGCACACTCACCTATGGACAATTTAGAATCACCAGTTAACCTCAACATGTCTTTGGACTGTGGGAGGAAGTCGGAGAACCCGGAGAGAACCCACGCTGCACGGGGAGAACATGCAAACTCCACGCAGAAAGATTCTGGTTGTGAACCGGCGACCTTTTAGCTGCGAGGCGATGGTGGTGCAAAAGTCATCATTTGTAAAATAACTCGGAACTAAATCTGTCAAATAAATTCAAAGTAAAAAGCATTTCCCTCAGCGTTGTAGTGAAGTGGAAGAGAAGTGTGATTAAATGGAAAGGCCTCGATTTTGCACATAAGTATAGTACTTGAGTAGATGTACTTGACTACATTGCACTACTGCTTAAGAAACCAAGACTTTAGCTGTGCTGGGTGTGTTTGTGTCCTTGGACTAGCTGTTTCCTCACTCCAGTGTTTATGCTAAGCTAAGCTAACCATATCTTATACTACTCATCTAGCGGAAAAAAAAACACATTTCCCCCAAAATGTTAAAGTAACAACCGTTGCGCTGACATGAAGTACAACATGAAGGTAAATTTCAACCTTATTACTCACTGTATGTTTTCACAGCTATAAAAGCAAACCCTATCCCGCCGCATTGTGAGTCAGAATGCTGGCCGACAAACATGAGCGAGGAGATGGTTGTCAGCACGTACATGGCAACACGCGGCTTCATTTTGTCGGCTCTGTGCAAATATTGTGTCGGCCTTGGTGCATGGAAAAGATGGTAAAGGCAGAAAACACTGGCAATGCTTCTGCAGTAACATTTAGTGCAACGGTTAGAAACAAGAAAAAACTTCAAGACAGATGAGATTAAGTTTGAGCCTTCATTGTCCATCGATTTGGATTTTGATCATTGTCAGATTAAGCAACATGTGCAACTCTTTCTACCTATAGGCCTATTTCTGCAGTTTCATTTCAGCGACTGCACCGTGGTTTGTTCATTCCATCGTAAAACACTGGATTAAAACAGACATGACACCGATCAATCTGGGTTAAACACTAGTTTTGTATTAAAATTTGAAAATCTTCAGCTATCAATTACATCTGCACATTGTAAAAGTGCAGCAAATCTTCCCAAAATCCAACCCCCTTTCCTCTCCTCTGTTTACACGTATGCAACGAATGACTTCACTGCGTTCGAGCCAGACCGTTTTCTTCAGCAAAAAGTTTAAAGCAAACTTGTGCTGATTGTTGGAAAAGCAACAGCCGTGCTCTCTCTGTGAGACGCTGACAGTAGTGGAGAGGAGGAGAAAAAAAAAAAGTTCAGATAACAAGTCCCAAATGTCACACAGCGTGGGTGGAGTCTGGCAAAAACAGCCAGCGAGGATGAGAGGATGCTTATTGTTTATTAAAGCATTTCTGAATGCCATGCTTTTCAAATTATAGAACAGAGCACTGGGATAAATGGGATACTTTGTAAGCGTCCTCTAACCTTTTGCAGATACAGCTGCCGGCCATTAGGAATGATTTAAAAGTAATATCTGTTAAATCTGTCCTCCTCTGAAACGTCAAATCCCACAAATCTGGTATACAAGATGCCCTTCTATGATTTCGACGACGTACGTGTGCTGTGAGCGACTTCCAAGCGCTGACACACGGCCGGAAAAAAGTCCCACATCAAAGACGAGTGCAATAGGTGGCCGAGAGAGAGAGCGCTGCCCTCTGCAGGAGTCGCCAGCAGCTTACAGTGGAGCTGATGTCAGAGCTTGTTAGTCCTCCGCCTACTGATGAGGGCTATGAATAAGAAAAACGGCTGAAAGCTCCAGAAAGTTTCCTGATTTGTGCATTAACGTGTTGTTGCTTTGCAGATTTTTATTAATATGGACAACAACAAACTTGATAAAGAGAATTTGATTGCTAAAAGTCATCTCTTTACTCATCTGCACCACATATGCATTCAGTGAGATTCATTCATCACCCTGAGCTCTGCTCAATGCCTCACAATGTTTACAAGAAGCCACTAACTTCATCTAAGTGCACTTTGATGCTGGACATTCAGTACATTTACTGAGTTTATTATTTTTGCTAGAAGTGGCCACCTGCTGCTCGCTGAAGTTTTTTCAGAGTCGTGAGACTGAAAAAGGAAAAGCTGAGGGATGCAAAGCAAACCAGTGAGCTGAAGGAGGCAAACATGAAAGGGACTGCATGATCTTTCTCTGTTGATTTGTCACGACACACAACATCTTTGACTTTGTAAGCCTGTAACATAAAACACTGACCAGTGCAACCTTACATACAGAACGCTGCCTCATATATTGCAAAACTGCTTTTGTTGCAGCTTTTAATGTAAAACCATCACGCCACAGAGATTCTTTAATTTACAGTAAAAATATGTAAATATTATTATCACAGTTAAAAAGTTCATATTATGCAGGTTCACATTGCACAAGTTCAGAATTTTATCTTGGGGCTCTATTCAAATATGTTTCATGTTGAAAAAACTAATTTTGCTCACATTGTACAATGCTGTGGCACTTCTTGTCACATCTGAAACACTCCGTTTGATCGCAAATGTCTTCCTCCCTTTCAGCTTTATTTTGCTTTTGCCACATTTTTAATCACAATGGGCTTATTGGCATCTGCAATGTGAAGTCCTGCAGAGAACTCAAGTTATAATGCCATAAATCCTTCTAAAAAACATGAAAGTTGAATATCTTTGATTACTTAACTCAGAAAACTTGAAAAAAAATAAAAAATTAGAATCAACATATACGATATTTTGCAAGTGCCTACAAATCCTACAAACGCTGGGAAAAAAAAGTTTTAATGTTTTCTTTTTCTCTCTGCTCCATCGTTTTTGTCACATGACTGTTTGTCGCAGCTGATTGAATCGTGGCTTCACAGTCACTCTGAGGACGCACAGGTTTGTTTGTTTTGTTGAGCAAAGAGTTAAGTTTTGGCAACATTTTCAATAAGACGTCAAATACGGG